TAGCACAGCACCCGGAGGAACAGGAGCATGAGAGGTACATCCACAGCTGTCTGCTCGCTGCTATTGATCTATTATGAATGTCAGTTTCCATTGCAGCTCTTATTCATGTTTGGTTGCATTGAATTATATTGTGGATGCTAACTTATTGTACATTAAAACAGTTTTTATAACAATATAACATTTGACTCTTCAACCCTGATAACTTCATTTCAATGCACATTGGATTTTTAATGCTCTCGATTAAAATCAATAAATAGACCGACAGGCCTTTGCCGGGAATCAGCACTGTCAGAGGACAAACGAGCAGAGGACAAACGAGCGGAGGATTACTTTTCAGATGAAGGGATTTATTTCACACAAAAATATTAAAATACAAATGAATTAAGAATGAACAAAGTAAGTTGATAAATGGGAGCATTAAAAAAAGTTTAAGCAAACAAAACTCTTGATTAGACTATTTGGAAATGATAGGGGGAAACAAAATCATGAAACCCCATGCAGATGCATGTATCTAAACAGGCTCCACCCTCAGTGTGCACCTAAATGTGCGCACCTCATTCAGATTACAATGTAGTCAAACATTTAGCAATAAATAAGATATTAACCAAAAATGATGGTTGTGTTTGTAAACTAATGCGACTGCTGATGAAACCTGTGATACTGTTGTGACAGTGTGAAACCATAAACCTATATTGAATCCACATAATGAGACAATGTGAACCTATTATCTATTTGACTTGTGTGGCTGTGGATTCAGACATCATAACATTACTGTGAATGATGTTTCCCCTTAACAAGATTGTTCTTATCTTTATTTGTCTTATAGGAAGAAATGGGTTTTTTCAGTTTTTTCTGTTATTGGTCAAAACTCTTCATTCCTCGTTTGCTCCATTAATTATGAGCCGATCTAATGACTCGTCACAAAATAAAGACACCAAAGAATAAGCTGGAGATGGAGAGAAAATTATATTAATTATTAGCTTGTGTTGGAATGAAACAATCCCTCACCATGGCTACATTATCGCCTGCTGCACAACAGAGAAAAACTAAAGTTACCCTGGGTAACTCTTGTTTGGCCTTCACAGAGCAGAATGATGTATTTTCAGAGTTTGACACTGAAAGGCTGTTATCAGATTCTTTGGCTGAAGGTGGAAAAGTTTCGCTGTGCTCACCTGAAACCATCAGAGTTACCTGCAGCAGGGTTTGTAACATAACAACTAGTTTGGAAGCCAAGAAGTGACTCACACAGGTGTGAAAATAGAAGCCTGCTTGGCACACACACTAAGAACAGACTTTCTGTATTCAATAGTTTAACATTTTGAAATGAGTCTCACATCATTTTATTCATTTAAAAACTTTATCACCAGGAAGTTAAACTTTTTTTTAAATGGAAAAATCATATTAAACCAAAGATTATAATTATTGTATATTACTTAAGACATGGAAGGGACTTAAGTTTGTTCCATTCCCAATGTCAAGTTTGTTTCCATATTATTAAAGAGAAAAGGCTAATGTATACATGTTTTTTGAGCTGTGAACTAAATGAAATGACTGTTCTTTGATGACATACATTAATGTTGGTTTTAATATCAGTTTTGTTACCACAGGTTGGCGTGTCTTAGCCCTGTTCTGTGGTCTAAAGGTATTTTTTAGAATTTAGAGGAAGAGACACTTCTCTTCAGGGGTTAAGTTACTCTTTAGCTAATTAGTCTTCTGACACATTTGTTCTGCCAGCAATACTGATATTCACCCTGTCAACACGAACATTAACTAAATGAACATTTTTAAATTAAATCCAGCTACTGCTATCAGCAGATCTTATCATACTGAAAAATATACCATTAAGTGTGTTCCAGACTGGGGCTTTTCTGCTGCCATCTGATAAAAATGTCCCATTAGAGAGAAAACCTATAGTCTGATATCCACTAATTGTTCAGTATCTTGCAGCAGCAGCAACAAAACCTAATTGCCATGTTAACGTTCCCTGTTCCTTCATGATGTGGACCAGACACAGGTTCATGAAAACACTGAGCGGGATGATGGAGAGCTGACAAGCTCAGCGTCTTGAAGGGCACTGCAATGTTAAGTGATATTAGGTGCCAGCTGACTGTTGATGCATTGGATCCAGGTTGATTTCCCTGCGATAATGGCGCCGCTTTTCCAGAGGAGCAGAGTTGCCCTTCACAGGAAAACAAAGCAGATGTTTAGAGGGATGACACATTTGCCTTTGACTGAGCGCTAATCATTCACATACATGCTTCGCTTCCATTTCACTTCCCGAGGTAAATTTTATTTCTTCGATCATCAAAGCGTGTACGATATCGCAGCACGTGTTTTCTTATGAGGTTTCAAAGTGAACGCTGCTGAGGAGCAGCCATGGCTGTCGATGAGTAATTGCTGTTGTGTGGGTGTTCTGCTGTTGTGTGAAACTACAAAGTGTACCATGGAAATATAACGTTTTTCACTGTCAACACCAAGTAACGCACAAGTGATATTTACCTGTTGGGACACTGACAATCATTAATTCTAAAGGTGCTCAAAATGAGGTCATGTATTTCCAGGCTATGAATTATATCACCTATAACAGATCAGATATTTGGAGTGTGAGGTGAAGCCAGGCTCCTTCAGGCTGTACACCAGGCTCTCGATGCAGCACTCCTGGCTCTGATTGGACGGGTTTTCAGACATCATGCATCAATTGCACATTTTTCTATCAGCCAAGTGAATATTATCAAATGTATTTGAAAGAGTTCCCTTCATTCCTTTTGCCCTCACCCACCTTCAGGCCTTGTGTGCTTTGCAAATGTCATCACACTTTAACAAGTTTTGAAAATAGACACACAATCGCAGCAGCTTACCGGTGCCCTGAAGAGGGCACAACGTCTGTGAGCAGCGACCTCATTGATCTGTGGTTTCTTTCATTATTCAGAGGGAGACATTTTCATGAGGAACAAGGCCATGTGGGTTAAAAGCCTTCAGGGATTCCTTTTTTAAAGCCTTTCAAAATGACTTTTCAAATTACTGATGTTATTTGAAAGAGAAGTATGCAAGCTGGTGTACTGTCGCAGTTCTTCAGTCAGAGGCAGAAAACATTGTCAGGAAGCCAAGGCAGATCTAGGATTTATCTGTCAGGGGCCATGACGGGGCCACAATTTACACATATACATGATTCAGTAAGGTGCACATTGAAGTCATTCCTTGTTTACTGTTAGCTCTATAGCTTTGAGTTACAAAGCATTTCATGTATTTAGAAAATTGTTCAGTTCAGTTGGGGCCAGTGCCCCCCTGGTCCCACCCCTGGATCCACCCCTGCCAGGTAGTAAGCGTGTACCACAAACAAAGCTGAGTCTATACTGCAGTGGTTCAAATCCCGACTGAGCCCTTTGGTGCATGTGATCCTCTGCATTCTAACTCTGCTCATCACTCGGCTGTCTCTGTGTAATAAAGCAGAAAAGCTGGAAATATAATCAAAACAAAACTCAAATGTGATTGCACGCTTGATGCACTGACAAAGAGCAGGAGGAATAATCTTGGATTATATAGTGCCGTGCCCAACAAAGAATTTTGTCAGTCAAAACAGTTTTGGATTCAATGACTTTCTCCTTTTTTCATCTAGAATATTAAACTGTTGTTTTATTGAACTGCAAAGTTATTGAATGGGGTTCAAAGTTATCCTTTATGCTAACGCATGCTTTGCATTCAAAATATGCACTTGTAACACTTTGCAAGCACTAGACATAAAAGGCCAGATCTTACATCGCAGAAGATAACGTTATCTGGCACCTCTACCAGACGGAGCCTCGCCACCTCTGGCCGCCTCTAATATGTATCACTTTATATATGTTTATGTCTGGTGATCAAACTATCTGGGGTTGTGTTTAGTTTGGACGAGCAGATAGATGGAAAGTAAAAGACAAAGAAATCCCTGTTCTAACTTGTCTCCATTGCTGAGTCTTGTTCATTGTATTACGGGGAACTAAGCAACCAACTGCAGAGACAATCTGCTTCCTGTTTCCACCACCGTGCACCTGACTGGTGATTTTACACATCCGGTGTTTTAGTATGAATGGAGATATTTGCTGATGAGGAGCAAAAACTGGATTTAAAAAGTAAAACTCTGTATTAGTGTGGATGGGATGCAGCTTCAGACTAATCCAGGGTCCAGGTCCTCAGCTGCTTGTATCTGTTGCAGACATCTTAACCAACCAGACAGTTCGACCTGACACGGTCAAATGATTTAACCCTGGAGAGAAGCGTGAAAGAGAGGAGCGCTCACTCTGCAGTTACTCTGAGAACCAAATTGACCAAAAAGCATGAATTGCAATAACTTTGGTGATCGCCTGGATTTTTTTCAGGGACAAACATGTCTGAGATTTAATTTGTCAAATAACCTGTTCAGTTTTTATGACCTGCATGTTAATAGTACTACCATCAGCCACAGCTATACTTTATATGTAGAGCCAATGAGAAAACATCGATGAGGTAATGTGCTATGGATGCCTGCATTAATGTCGTGAGCATGTTAGTTTGCTGAAAACAGCCTATTTCTTGATACTACGGCTAGAATTTAGTTCAAAAGTTCTCCATGTGTTATTTATGATGTATTGTCAGGTGTCCTTGGGTATCTAGAAAGGCGCTGTGCATTTATTTTTATTATTATTATTATTAAACCATTAAAGTACCTCTGTGGTTTTCAGACCATTAGAATGCTGTAATTAGTTTTTAGTTTAGTCTGTCAGCACTTCAATATATTTTAATAAAGCATGCTTATCAACAGATCCATTGATTTTAATAAATATTTATGCTTATGTTGAATATAAAGGAAGGAAACCAATATGGTAGCTCATATTTTGGCATTATAATTCTCATGGGGGTTTTTTTACACTCATTTACTCTATACTGTGGAAAGTTGTCCTTTAAATCCTGGTTATATCCTTTTTATATGAAAAGCATCAGGCAGTCTTAAGCATACATATGTTTATTGAAAACTCCCTAAACAAGAGTGAAACACAACTAAAGCAAGAAAAAATCACAACACACACTTAGAACACAGTTCCATTCACTCTCTCACACACACACACACACACACACACTCAGCTGCTTCAGGAGCACTGTGCAGTCTGTCAGCAGGACCGTTGAATAAATTCACTGAAACGGAACATGGGATGCATCTCATTCCATTGTTTGCTGCTGCATAATGTGAGACTGTCCGTTTGCATATAATAAGGAATAATGTTGTAACACCTATGATGTGATTACAGGGTGGAATGTCTCCACATGAACATCCTCAGACCTTGATTTGTTTCGATGTGTTGGATGCATGAGAAGCAGTTCAGAGTTCCTATAGCAACAACAAACGCAGACTCCAACGGTCACACTTTGACAAAATACATTAGGCTCCTTTGTTTTCTTCACGGACGGGTTTCACACAGCTGCAGTCTTTTATTGTACATAAAGTATAGAAACAGCAAAACACAGCTCAAAGAGTTCTCAAGGCAAGACATGCTTATTCATAGAAAACACTTCTTCTCACAAATGGAACTGGCATGCCATGAACAAAGATTCTTACACGCTTCTTTTCTTCAGACATCTGTAATTTCATCATTCTTTAATATTTTTTTGTTACTTCTATCCCATCAGACTCTGGGATGGTGAAATGGCTGGAAATAATTCACAAGCAGTGGTGTCCTTTATACAACGTTGTATTAGGGCCAAGTTGAGGGAAAAAAATTAGATTACAGAAATTCAATCAACAACTTTTAAAGGTAAATGTATTACAATTCATTGTTTAAACTTTTATCATTAAATATTACAACTCAATCTTAATGCAACAATTACGATTTCTCCACTTTATTCACGACATGTTATATATATATTTAGATTCATATTTTTTTCTTCAACATGGCCCTACTACTTCTTGTACATCTGAACATCTGATTTGAAAATAATTAAAAAAATTATGTATTATATATATTTTTTTTCTTGGTAGAAAACTTTTATTTCAAATTTACTCTTCCACCATTTGAAAAAAGTAACGCCTACTGCTACAAAAGTATCTATAGCACCAAAGCCAAAATACTCTTACAGACATGGTTTCTGAACAATATATATTTTTTCTCAATATACATAACATCTAATAGGAGAAAACTAAATGACAAGGTATGGACATCAGGCTGCCAAGTCAGGCGAATGCAGGTCTATAGAACATAATGCGTCTCAGTCACAATCATTTCATCTGCCTCGAGACATCAGAATGTCTCTGTCACTGGTATCCAGGGCGGCGCTGACAGACTCTGCAGAACCACACAGTCAGTTTCAAGTTACACTTCTCAGTGTCTTCAAGTCCAGTCACAGAGTCTGACGAGCAGAGTCAAGCACCTCCTCCCTTCATTCTTTGTAAAGTTTCATTCGATATTGCATTAGTGTACTGCAAACAACCCCACTCTCACACACACATACACTATTAAGAATGTGCCACTGGGTTGCATCAGTGACAGAGGCTTCATTGATTTCTGTAACTTATGTTTAAAGGAATTTTGTTCGCAGTGAATGTCTCGTTGCGTATCCCTGTGCCACGAGCGCAGGAAGCAAACCGCAGCTGAAGGTACATGTCTCCACTGATGCTTTTTACACAAACACGTGTCAACAGACAAATGTAAAAAGTCTAGATCGCACTCAAACATCCTGACAAGATCATAAAATTACAAAATAGCCTTGGTGCTCATTTCATATCATGCTGTTTTGATGTTTTTTTTAACCTCCCCATTAATGTCACAGCAATGGCAAAACAAACACGGTAACTAAGGCAACGAAATGATCCCTCATTTAGGACTAAACTTGTGAGAGGCTACAAATTGCTTTTCTGATGATAGGGAACCAGTAATGCTTCATGTTTGAAAAAAAAAAAAAAAAAAATCATAAGAGGGTACATACGACCCAAGCTGAAAAAAATAAGCTACAGATCTTTGGTGTCTGCTTCGTTTCAACGCAGTGTTCCTAAATGAAGCCTGGTAATATTCCTAAATACCAGAACATTAATGGATGAATAATACATCATAAGCACTGTTCCGGGCTCTGGCCTGTCGTCTGCTGAATGTGAGATTGTCCATTTATGGGACTGCAGTGGGCTGAGAGCCATTTGCAATGCTTGGGCAGTCCGTGGGGCACCTCATATAGTCCTAATGTCCTCATAAGCCACGGTGGCCAACCTCCCTCAAAGGATTAATGCAGGATCAGATTGGAGTTTGTGCCTGTCCAGACACACTTCCGCCATGCCATATCCACCTGCCAGTTATTGATTGCACTCATTGAGAAACAATTTGGCTCCAAACCCCTGTGCAACCCCAGGGAACACATGCTCAACTCAGGGCTTATGAAAGAAATAAAGTTGGATGGTGACGAGATGAGGAGGAAGAATTTGGGATGGGTGGTGTCCAGGATTGCACAGGAAAGCTAAATGGAACTTTTAAGAGTAAGGTAGATGAGTTGTTTTAGAAGGGTTTTGAAACGCAGACCAGTGCTAATCTCAAGAATATATTTGTCCAATATCTATAATCATGTTACAATGGTCAGTTACAAATGAAAAGATATGAATCTTGTTCCCCATGTCCTTACATTTTAAACCAACACATTGGCTCCCTCTGAAAATACAGGATCTGAAAGTCAAACTGAAACACTCACAATGTCGCTGCATTGCTCTCAGATTCTGTAATTTGTTTCCAACTGTGCCATCAAACACACAATATCTAATTAGTTTAATTACAGTGGTTTGATTTCATGGTTTGATTGCTGTGACATTTTAATGGGATTTCTTGGGTTGCCCCCAACTTGCTGTCCCAGTCCTTAAATAGCAAAACATTAAATGTACTCCAGCGTAAAAACGAGCTGCCAGCCATGTCTCTTATTAGGCAAAGACTTCCAGCAAAGACTGGCATTATTTTTATCCTCCTTCACAGCCATTAATAAGACCCGCTTTCTTCAGGTTTTCAACATGTTTTTCTCTCTTCCCTCTCAGTGGTGATGTCCCATATTCGTAGGCTCCTCTCATACATCACATCTAAATATAGACTTTCATGGCTGCTGAGCAAGAGCCAGATTTAAAAGAATAAACACAAAAAGAATGTGGGTGTCACCGAGACTGAGTGTAACTGTATGAAGATGAAGTGTTAATGTCCACTTGAATGTACGATAGCCGGCCAGTCACTAGGGATGGGGAGGTGGGCTTGGCGGCTTCGTGAAGGTGTTGGGGGTAGTCTCGGTGGTGGCCACTAGTCATACTGGACCTTCAGTCAAGCCCTCCAGGGGGAGGGTGGTGGCATTGTCAGTGGGCTGCGGGTCGTCCGGGGGATGTGAGGACACGTGGGTGGCGGCGGCCAGACTGGCGTAAGGCAGGTGGCAGTCCATGTGCAGAAAGGGTGGGTAGTGCTGGCGGTAGCAGATGTACGCAAACAGCAACCCGATCACTCCTCCAACAAAGGCGTCTGCAAAAGTCACAATAACACATATATTTTAAGATGTGCATCCATGTTTAATTTTAGCATATATGGAGGCAGCGGAACAACACCTGCTCTGAGAATGAACACAATTAATTAGACATTACTGTATTTGTGCTAGTGCGTTTCAGTGAGCATCCATCATGCCCGGTTAGTTTAGAGGTCGACAGCAAACTAAATGGCCTGATGATGAATCTGTGCTACTGAGCACGTGCCTTTTGGACATGCTCTGTCACTTTTTCATCCACGCCTAACACTTTTGTAGTAAACCTCGCTCCCTTTAAGCTATGTTTCATTTATACTATCACACTGCCAGGCTGAATATTAAGCCTATATTGCTGCGTATAGATCAAATTGACATGGCCAGTTGGTGGCTGGAGCAGCTGATATAGATGCTAGATGATATCAAAATTGCATTTTCCATAGGCCTTCCTTTATTGTCTCTTTTCAGGGCGGGAAATGAAATATAGTATATAATCGATTTCCAGAAACTGAGAACTTTACAATGCATGAGCTTGTTCTGTGAATTTTTCATCGACCTCTGTCTGCTAAATGTAATAGAAAGTGATTTGATGCAATGTATTCGTTTGGTGGCCTCATTGAGACAGTGATTGGAAGTTCAGTTTGTGTTTAGATTCAGTGCAGATTGATGCCCCTCAAGTGTAATGGGCTGCACTGATCCCTCAGACCTGTGAGAGGAGGGAGGATAAGTACGTGCAGACTCTGAAAGTTGACCGCTCGCCTGCAACTCCAACCTGCGTTGTGCTTTTGATGAATCGTCTTTAAAGGAATTGTCTGTTTTGTATCTGCCCAGCTCACCAGCAGCATATGGCTCTCTGAAACTAATTAACACCATATGACAGAGCTGTCACACCACATATCCTCTCCCACACACCACCCACATATGCATTCCCTCATTCCCTCCCAGTCTCCCTCCAGTTCTTCCACAACAGATATGAAAGCTCGTAACTGTCCCTTTCTCCCAGGCTGCTGAATTAAATGCCACCTCACTGTCATCTGAGGCAGTTTTCAGGAAATCAAAAACCGTCATTATGCTACAACTGACATTCTTATCGAATGCAGTTTTCAGTCTGTTGCGCAAAAAGGCAGGAGACTCAGCCTGATTTTCTCTACATTGTGTTGGGGCCCTCCCGGAATTTGCCAGCCATGTTGATGCAGTAAAAAATATGCGTGATTGAAGCTGCTATTTGAAATAAGGCATCACCAGGAATTTGCTTTATAAATTATCTATATAATAATTATAAAAGATGAGATTAAAACAAGACTACAGCACATCAATCCTTCTCAGGCAAGAGAAGATTTAAACTGTGTAAATTAAGAACATGCTGCATTCATGCAACTCTTATTGAGCAGGAGCTGTTGGGCCGACCTTGCCAGTGGTGTTTGTAGTCACAAGTCCGGGACAGTGCAATCATCATGGCGCTGTAGAGGGGCAACACCATGGCACAGAGACGCCAGCTACGCCCTCGACCCTGATCCGTGAAACACTGCAGCTTCCCCGCCAGATAGAAGGAGGTGAAGCCCAGACCAGAGAAAGCAACTGACAAAGAAAGGAAGAAAGAGAAAGAAGACAAAGAGGGCGACACTTCAACAACATATTCAGCAATCATTTTATAAACTCTCCCCCTGTCTGTGACGAATCCTCTTGTTCATTGGCAAAGACATAAACTGCAAGGGACTGTCTTGTGAAAGTCAATCACCCTGTGTAACCGTCATGTCTGCAACAGGGTGAAAAATAAAATCAACAATGGAAAGGACAACTATAGTGTCATTAGAGAGCATTTGACAACATAACGCAGGAGGCAGATGGGAGTTTTGCAGCATGTCCCCTGCCACCCACTCGCAGGTGAGCTCACTGAGCGATGGAACTTCAGTCTGTCAGGCAAAAATCTCCACATTGAATTCATTGTGTGCGACAGGTGCCTGAGAGCAGACGGAGTTAAACACACACATACAAAGCACAACCCACACACTGAAGACTTGTTTATCAATGTGCATTTACTCCAAAGTGGAGTGTGTACATGGCAGCAGTGAGCATCCCTGAGCCAACACACTAAATTAGGTTCCCAGTGAAATCATTCTCTAATAAAGATTAGACTGGACTATAGTTGGTGCATAGTTTAATGGCTATCCCAACTACGGCAAAACAGCCTGAGGTCACAGGGAAGACTATGGCCCTGTCGGACAAACAAACATGACTGAGCTGCGGTCCAAGCTGTGCTGAAGGGTCTTAGCTGATGGTCGTAGTGTAAGAGAAACAGCGGCTGTCTAACTGTGTGAATTAAAAGTTGGGTGATGGAGCCATAAAAGATGGTGCTGAGACGGGGGTCATTAGTTTACCACAGTGGACCACACAGCACAATTCAGCACCCATCACCTGCCCATTTGTCACTCAACCCACGAGTCAGCCGAGATTACTGAGGGTGGTATGACACGTGTGTAGCCTGTAGATAGAGACGGAGGATGGTGGAAAGAGATGAACGTCCTGCTGTCTCCGAGCTTGTTCTGCTGTCAGGGAGCTAGAGATGACACAATTAACATCTGTGCATTTACCATTAGGCATTTTACATCAATGTATTGAATGGCCGGGATAGGCTTACACTAGATTTTTATTTTAAAATAAATATTTGTATGTTGCCGTAAATAACTGATGCAAGTTTGCAAGATGGCATGTTTATTATAAAATGTACTTCTACATTGATCTTCAGCCAGAAGTTAATTTAATGTGTGGTTTTAATGAGATTCAATAATGGTATGTGTGGTGTACTGTATGTTTTTTTGTTGTTGTACCCAACCAGCATAGGGTCACTCTCAGGCATACTGCAGGTTTTCTTTCCAGCACTGGTTTAATGGCCCAGGAAACTCACAGACCAGCTGCTTGGTTGTAAATCATCTGACGAAACTTTTAATTAATGAATTATTCTAAAATGAAGAACCTAATTAGAGATGCACATTAAACACAATAATTTTTTTTTTCTTTATTAGGGTAATTATTCATAGATAACTCCTGCAGTGTAATATGAAAACTGACAAAAAATATTTTAAAAATATTATCGCATTGTACTTTCTTTGAGTTGATATTCGTGGATGACACACATTTATAAATCAAATATTCTAATTTTGAACTGAATCAAAAAGGCATTAAAATGTTCTGGACCTTTGTGGTCTCACTCACCTCCACCCTGCCTCTAACGTGGTTGGATTAAGGAATGAAGAGTGATGACTGTTTAGGGGCAGGTTGGGCTGCGAATATCAAGGGGAGGTGTCGGGTGTGGAGTGGTCAAAACAACAGAGCGACAAAATAATGACTGGTCCTGGCAAATGTGTTGTAGATCATTTACATGGCGCCTAAACACGTCCAATCAGCCAATGTATGGACACTACAAAGAGTCCTGTAGCAGCTGATCCTTCATAGGATAACTGGGATTTTTGAATCTTTTTTTGGGTGTAAATAATCTTTGGAATCAGCCGTATTGAGCAAGCACAGTTTACATGGGAATTGCAAAATAGCTCTACAATGTAATCAAACATTCCAACAAGATTCCTATAAAGACAGAATTTTAATTTTTAAAGCAAAAGTTCATATTTTGTGTAACCAGAAATTATATTGTTGTTCAAAGACACCAAACTTCATTGACCAAAAGCCCAAAAACTGTGTGTTAGTTTGTATTATTGTGTGGTGCATTCACTTCAGTGAAGGATCTGAATATTATTTCCAGCAATGAACATCACACAATAAGTCATGCAGTAATAGACCCAGCATCCTTCATTGCTCATCATCTGACTTCTGAGCGAACTCCTCATATTTCCAATCACCCAGCAGCTCACTCAACATTTATTTTAATGGCTCTCACCATAGCTAAGACAATTACATAACTCAATTCGTAAGACGGAGCTAAATTATCTATAAATTACATATTCAATCTTCTGATTGAACTTTTTAACTTGGGAAATTCCCTGCAGTTTTACATGAGGGCATTTCAGAGACACCTTTTCAGAGTTTCTGCACTGCTGATTCCACATCACTAATATATAACTATAATTTATACCAATGAAAAAGTGCTTTGTGTTGTCTTCTGTTCTGTATTGATGTGATGGACCCCAAATCATCACCCAATATATTCCTATGCAAAGACAGCACATGAAAATCAATGTTCAGGATCCAGCCAGGACCTAGTATTCTACTATCCCCTATTATCATTCGGAGTGATGGGGGCTGGAGCTTATCCAAGCATGCTTGAGAGAAAGACAGGGACGTGCCGAGGGCAGGTCAACAAGCCCTCAGAGGGTGAATGCATTTATTCACCCACAGTCACAGTAACACTGTGTGCAGAGTGTTTGTGCATCAGAAGAACCACATAAACACAGTGAGTGTGAAACTGTAAAGCAGTATCATTAGAATATGTATATTACTTGAAATATGAGCTGTTGTTACTGAAGTTTAAATTAAAAAATAGGTCAAGATTAGTAATTAGGCTGATAAGTCTGTAATTGGGTTCAAGAACATAAAAACAGCGTTTTTTTTTTTTTTCATTTATTATGTTACAATTTTTGTGGGGCCTCAATGGCAAATATGGAAATCAATACAGGCAAATAAGATGTTGTAGGAAATATATTTTGTTAGCTCCATCTGTTTAGAACTGTAACACAGACTTGCCATTTGAACCAAGCAAAATTGCATATGAATTATTAAAGGTATCATAAGAAATAATGGTGCAGTGTAGCAGTAAACAAAAATGCCTTATTTTCATTCTGTATATATCTGCAGAATATATTTGCAGCCATGGCGAGACAACATCACTAGGATTACACTAATGGAAATGCTTTGGTTATATGCATAATATATGAGCAGGAGATAGCTAATATATGATTCCCCACAACATCCAAAGAGACAAACAAACACATTTCTACATGTGAAATTAACATAATTAACTCATCCAATATATTTGCAGCAGTAAAGTTATACAATGAATATCAGGTATACCCAGAACAACTGATGGTCTCTCATCAAGAGGCAGCATAAGTCCCCTAAAAGCCAGAGGACAGGGAGGAGGACGACAATGAGAAAATAACAACACAGTAATATATCCGCTTCATGCACTTAAAAGCCTTGAAAAGTGATTCCCCTGAGACTAAACAAAGACGGCTAATGGGAGTGATGAGCTGTGCAGTTGTTTTTTGCATCTTCAAAACAAACACAACGTTTGTTGAGAAGCTGTAAGTGAGGACGTCTGATTAAGAAAGGTGACTGAGGACAATTTTACATTCAGAACAAGATATGATTAATAACACGGTAATTTCATGTGTGTTACCAAGGTAACCAAGGGTTATCTAACCTCTGACTGGGTGAGCAGCTATATCTGAGGCCCATGTTATTCCATCCAAAACATCAAACATGAATTTTGGGAACATGCAGACAATACAGAGTTTTGATTAAGATTGTTTCTCCACTATTAATTTATCATTTTGCGTGACCACTTCTTCGTCATTCGTTTTAATCATCATCAAATCGGATACATTTTTATAGAGTTGGTTGCATGTGATGGATAAAGGCAGTGTCAGAGCAGCAGGATAAATTGAGATGGACATAACTTCAGGTTTCAGTTTGGATTTTAAATGAAATCACTGAACACATGAACGATGCATTGCCATGACTTTTACTGCAGACATTTGTGTTCTTAAAGGATAGATTATGGTAACTTTTGCCGTGATTTGAATTCTCAACTAGCAACTATCATTTGGCTAAAATGTTTATTGATCCAAAAAATTCCAGGTAAAACGGATCAGTTTACATTGAGTGTTAAACATAATGTTAAGTGGCCCATGTTAGCATGCTCAAACTTAATTAAGTCAGTAATACATATTGTACCCACTACACTACAGGGTTAGTTAGGCCTGTCCCTGTTAGTATTTAGCTAAATTAATGACCTAGGTACGTATACAGCCTCACATAACCGCTTATCTGGCTGTAAATTTGAAAAGATTGTATTTGTTTTGTCTTTGGTTTCTTCATTGATACAATTGCTTACATAAATATATTCCTGTATAATCTTGGTACTGTATAATGTGTTTAGTGTATAGTACGTCGGGGGTGAGTGGGCTACAGCAGGGCAGCAAACCCTTTATAAAGAGGTACAAATAAATCACTGGGTGGTAAAAAAGAGACATACAGCAGACTGAATAACAAACAATGAAAACAAAGCATATAAGGAAATGTTCTGTTGAACCAAATGAACCCACAAAGGACACAATTTTCTTTCAAGATTTGGCTGCGGATCCTCAAAAAATGCTCAGGTCAAAGCCACTGCAAAGTTGTGAAGTTGGATAATAAATATCTGTCTCCATAACTTTCTCCACTTTCTCTCTGATGAAATATCATCAGTGAAGCACTTACCTCCTGGATAGGTCACACAAAGAGTCTGTGTGTTTTTGATTAAATCACACTAGTGATCGTCTCCATCTCCCAGCCTTCCCCCACTCTCTCCCTTCTATTGTGACCTCTGACCCTTGTAGGGAACACTGGGACACCCTTCAGACCAAAAGTGATGCATATTAACCAACCATTTGGGCACCAAGCCTGTTTCAAACATTAGCATACAAAAGCTGAGCAGGAACTCATTAGCACCGTATAATTGCTGCGCTCCTACTCAAGCTGTTCCTCAACCTTCGCCTCTGTGCACACTCCAGACACACTGAGGGCCTGAGTGAGTAAACACACAAGAGATCACTTTGCAGAAGAGTGTTTCTCTCCCTAGACACTGAACTAGTATGATGGACGTTCCATGCTATGGATTGTAGATAGTTTGAGCAATGTGATTAGGTCTGTCTTAGGAGGATTTCTTTATTCAGGGGAGGGAATGTAGATGGTAAAGCTGGCAGATGGTTTTTAAGAGTGCCTATTTATTGATCAAATCTAATGGGCTTAATATGCACAGGGAGAGATGTTGAGATGAATATGAATAAGAAGCAGGCGATCTGCAGCTAACGCTGGAGGGCCTGCTTCAGGGACTTTACCACTTCCTATGTTGTTGAAGGAGCTTGACTTTCTCCTTCTGGGACCAGTCTCCTCCAATTTCTGTGACCTTGCTATGAAGTGAATCAAGAAATCAGAGACAGAATGAGAAGCATAAAAACAATTGTTGGAGACCGAAATCTGAAAATGTGTTGAATTCTACATACATCTGTTCTCCAGACTCATAGAAGGTCACCGTGACCTTTGACCACTGAAATCTAATCGGTTAAGCTGAGTCAAAGGATTCTCTTGAGGTGTGAAATGTTCAGAAGGCAATAAAGGTTTCAGTCACAGTGACCTTGACCTTCGATCTCCAAACTGTAATCAGGTCACCCTGTAGTCCAAATGATGTTGTGCCACGTGTGATAAAATTCCCCATTGGTGTTCCTGATATGATCACAAGCACTGAGGCATAAATAAAATGAAGCTGCCATCAACAGCTGTTTAAAAAACAGCCGTCATCGAATACTAAATAATAAATACAAAGTTGGGTGTGCATTTATATTTTCGTCCTCGCTAATTGTTGTGATTAGTATATTTACCATGTAGATTAGCATTCTTTGGGGAGGATCTGTGTGTGTCTGTGAATGCAAAACAGCTTATTTTGTCCATAGTCATACCAGCAAGAGTAGATGTGGCATTAAATCCAGATTCCACTTTGAATAAGCCCGCATTCACCCTCGTCATCTGTCTGGCCCTATTCCCTGTCCATTTCCACATTCGTCTGGTTAAAAGCTCTGTAACTTATGCATGGTCCAAAAAGTGTTGTCCCGGTGAAAAGGGGGAGACAGACGGGAAATTGGATTTTTTCGTCCTTCCCCTGGCCACGCTGGCATATGGGTGCTCCTTGTGTCCCAGTTGCACGGCTCCCTCAATCACTTTCTCACTCACAGCACAACAACATAAGGCTGTTAGAGCTGCCCTGCAGATGTATGTAATCGGTACACCGTGCTGCAGTGAATTACAGAGCAATGTCCCCTCTCTGCTTTTTTCTAATGGGATTCAGCCAGCACCTCGAAACATTTCCTCCTGACAGCAGGTGTCTGAATAGCTGGACATGTGCAACTTTACTATCATGCCAAAACAACAATTTGTTATCAGACAATGAAATTCAAATACATTTTGACCACCTATAGCATCTTATCAACACACAGAGACCAATTATTCCCATGTTTGATTTAAGGCCCTTTAAAGAGCAGTTCACAGCAGCCACACTCACAGCAGGATGACAATTAAACACATTCACACACCATTTCACATGCACTGGGTTTCCTGCACATGCACATACACCCTCCACCTCCAAGAATATTTCTTTTTTCGCTGCCCTGTTATTTTCAATGTAAATAGAATATGGAATAAAAAAAAGACATGAGTTCACAGTGACATGGATTTTCGCTTTTCCAATGCTTCAGTCTGATGCAGCTATAGGCTTATTTACACATTCCTGCCATGTTTATGAATTCTACATAATTAACTTGTTAAGCGCGAATGTGCATCCAGAGAGGAAATTTAATACGAAATTTGAATAAAAGCAAACAATATAAATATAAAGTGAGCCCCAGTCGGAGCACAGCTCACTGGAGGATATAAAGATATATTTTGCATTATGCATAATAGATCGCAGGAGGTTCAGTGTAATTCCACTGCTATCATTTTATTGGTGGTGGAGTTTCCTGAGGTCCATATAAACCAGAGCAAGATTTTAAAAAAATGTCAAAGGTATCTTTTATGGTAAATGCTTCAAGGCCACTAAGGGATGTATTCTCCTGAATGCAGTCTTTACATGATGCACCCCCGTAAACATCCTGCATGCAACACAGCAGACACTCCCTGTGTACCACTTACATCCATCTGCTGGACAACATAGAAAACATGTGAATAATTTAGCACGCTGCTCAGGCAAAAACCGCCTGGAAAGCAATATGGTCCGAAAGATGTTGCCTGTCCCGCTGCACAGCTGAACGAAGCAGGGAGTCAAATAAAACCGACACATCCACCAAGTGCACAAGTATGATGGGCTCAATCAACCACACCCACTATCATCTAAACAAGCTGCCTGCGGATGTTTAAATTGCTCGATAACTCATTGCAACGTGGTTACCTTTGAAGAGAGACAGCAACAAGATCATCACTTTGAAATGTGATGTAAACACCTCAGCGACACCCAGTCAGCATTTTCTACATGTGAAATACTGCTCAGAGCACAGAGATCAAACTGAGTGAATAGCTACACTCATATGCAGTATTAATGACTAGGAGCTCTGATATCTTTTGACATTGTTTCATGAGTGCTGGCAGTGATCTGTGTGGGTAGCTGACTGATGCTCACAGGAGGAATGACTGCTGGGGAAGCTCTTGCGTCCCTCTGAGACCAGATCTGGCTCCCCGGTGCACAGCATCTTCACATTCCCTTGTCCGTCTGGGAAACAGCGCTGGAAGTAATCAGGCCTGGGTCTGGAAATCAAAAAACAAAAGACTGAGTTTGAATGTGAATGCTAGAAAGTTTTCCATTTCCCTGTCAAATATAGTCAGTAAAAGTTAAAAGACACATTATTCAGAGGATACAGCTCAACATTCAATATCAGCCTGCAAAGTGCTTCAGCTTGTTTAGCATACCTGCCAACAATCAGCTTGATGGTGTTTGTGAAGACTCCATTCAGGGCGAGAGCCAGGGACACAGCTGGAGGAGAGGGAACACACAGTCAACTGAACATCTTACAGTTCAGAGGGTTATCACTGAAACAAACGAGACAGGTTCACGTAGCATTTTCTGCATGAATAACATTACATGTGTATTGAAGGTATTCATTTTACTATCAGTCCACTGCAGGCTCTGGCAGGTTACCCACTCCTCTGACATGTTGTCCAAATAAAGCAGCTAATTAGCTTCATGGGAATTTCCCCGGCAGATGGACGGTTGGTTCATCAGGTTTATATGCAAACCAGCATTTCATGATCTCTGACCATGCAAACATGTACGAGAGATGTCAGAAGTTATTTCAAATCCTGGAGTGGTCATGGATTTCTGCTACATCACAGTAATGGAATAGTTGTTGAGATATTTCCCTCAAAGCCACAAATGTACCAAATTTCCTTTTTGATACAGCTTATAGTCCAATCAGATCTGATCCGGGTACCGGATCAACAGCTCTCCACTGTGCTGCCCAAGCAAAATGTTATCACCAAAATGAAATAAGTAGAACATAAAGAGTTTAACACTAGCAAACATCAATTAGATATTTAATATGGAGAAAATAGTTGTGAAAAAACTGTGAAGTAATTTGCTTCAGCTCAATTTGTTAATAGGAAACAGGAGAACTATGCTTGGTTGACAGGTAGGAACTGCACATAACCGTACGTTCATTTAATTAGCGATGAAGCAAACCACTGTGGGCCCATCATTAGCCAGAGTGCCTGCCCTCACAGGTTAATCCCAGTAGTCTGCAGGCAAATTGAATTCACCCCACGTCGCCAGTGCTCAAATTTATTATCCTCCTGAGCTGCTGAGAGGAGCACAGCATCAACAATATTTAACATCCTGTTATTTTGGGGAATGCCTGTGTGCAGCTCAGATGAAAACCCAAATGGTACATGTTCCATTTGACCAATTCAAGAACGGGACATTAAAGTGCAATGTGTTCACTGTTTCAGATCCAACTCAGGGTGAGGTGATGGAGTGAGTGTGGTGGCCTGTAAAACCACTGCCGCAGCTGCATTCTGTAGACTTAGGAAATTCACTGATGGTCATTTAAGCTTTAATTAGCTTTGTGCTGGCACAACGCCGACAGTGGTCCTCACATAGTTTTGGCAGTCCCTCCTGTTTGCACGTTTGCATATTCATAAAACTCCCGGCACCATAAGCCTCTTTTTTTTTTATACACTTCTATGTATATTATTTGATAGAAACAGACCATAATAACAGGATTAACACCACAACATGGAAAGATTTGTTACAATATCAACAACACATGCAGAAATTAGTCAGTGGAGTTAGATTGAGTAGCATAACTGATCAATCTCATAAACAGACATCATCCGCTCATTGTGAGCATGTCCGAGGTGCTGTAAAGTTACATCCATCCATCAATCATCCACACCACTTATCCTTTTAGGGCTGCAATGGAAAGATTGCCAGCTAATCACAGGGCCAACACATAAGATGCTTTCAGACATACACTGAACTCTGGATAATCTCCTGAAATTATCCAGAGTGTGTGAGAATGCAAATGTACGTGTCAGTTTTCTCAAATATGTGACGGCTGCAAAACTGAAAAAAAAAAGAAAACAAATATCTCAGGATGGAAAACTGGTGTCAATCACATAGAAGACGAAGATGACAACTTAGAATGCTAAATTCTAGAGCTTTTGATGGAGGGCCGACGCACTATGTAATATGCTGATCATGCATTTGTCTTCCTATTGGTTTATTCAATCTGCAACACTATCTTCGCCAATTTGGACTGTGCTGTGCTGTGTTAGGACTGTGCCTGCGCCAGTGGTCACCAAAAATTGGACGTGCACAGCAGAGGTATAAGACATCTCACATGGAGTGCTTCCATCCAAATATTCTTCAAATTATTTAGCACTGTTGTCTCAAAATTCTCTGTTGAATCCAAGCCTGGCCAGGCTCTTTCTGTGTGGAGTTTTCATCTATAACTCAAGTTCTTCAAGTAATTTCTATCTTTCAACACATTATACAGAGACCAGACTCTTTTTAAGGGAAAATCTTTCATTCTCTCACAAACCGGAAGATTGCTCCCTCTGCACACATCAAACAATACAACTCTGTGCCGTGAGATCTTAAATTCAGATGATGAACAATATATTTCATGTTTCTTCACCAAAATCCAAAATAATCACTGCAAAATCATTTTAGTACAATTCTCAGAGGGTCACCTCTTAGAAAATATAATCAAACTTAGATTATATAGCTTCATTATATCCTGTGACTGACAGAAAATCACAGAATTAAGTAGCAGGAGTGTTATTAGACAATCCTATGAAGGGAACATTGCGTTTTCTTACTTTTACGTGACAGCAGAATGTTCTGTATGAAACAATAAATCACTACGTTAGCAAAACAAAGTCTCACGGGTGAAGCAGGGGAGACAATCTAACTCAAACTCTAAATTGATGTCATCTTTTTTGTTTTCCTCCCTTGTGTTTCTCATTTTTCCCTGGGTTGTCTTTCTCTCTATCAGCAATCTGTCATCTGATCAGTTCATCATCCTTCCAAGACTCTGCAAAATATAAAGAATAGGTCCTTGGCTATTCCTTAGTAAACTCTTGACTTTTGTTTGTTGGACTTCTCTAATTCCTGTTTTCCCATTCTTCAGATTCTTGCCATGCAGTCCTGCCTGTATCCTACATCCCAAGCTCACAGATCCACATGCAATCACTAGCTCAACTGTATCCTGTCCTCAACCGTCACTGCTGGTCCCGTCACCTGTCCTGCTGACTTCCTCACTCTCTATCAATAATCCTGGCCTGGTTTAAGGATCAACCCCCAGTCACACTTTCCAGCGGAGGTGGCATGTAAAAAAATACATTTACTTCATTACTGTACTTTTTTAAATGTATCTGTACTTTACTTAATCAATTTATTTTCAGCAACATTTCCCTTTTAATTGCCTTCATATATCAGCAAAGCTTCTACTCCACTTTCAGTTATTTTATATGTTTTAAAAGGATAAATTATAAGAGGGGTATTGGTTAATTGATCCAATCAGAGGAGGAAGGTCACATTAGACTCTGCCTCCATCAGCAGCAGCCTCAAAGATGAGGAAACAGCTGAAATGGATTCTGAAGAGGCCACGACACTCCATTAATTCACATGACAATGTTTTCAGTAGCATCAGCAGCAACAATCTTTATTAACAAAGTCTGTACTATTGTTGTATTAAACAAAATACACAGTAATCACAGAATGATGAGATTAATAATTTTCACAAGTAGAAAAATGTTTGTGGTACTTTTACTTCTATGTGAGTCCCCTTTGTGTGTATTTATTTGTACTTTTACTTCAGTAAAATGTTTGAGTACTTCATGCACTACTGCTCTCAAGTCAATCCAGCCAAACAGTTTATTCACAGTAAACAACTTTTCTCTCTGAATTGTAGTGCAATCAAACTTTTCAGCTCATATTGGTTTGAAATTTTGTTGCATTAATTGAACAGTAAGAGAAATCTAAGGGACAACTTTGAACTCAATAAAAGATAGGAGCTTATTTTCTGTGATTTCAGCTCGGAATGAAAAATAAATTGGTCCATAGAAAGTTAAAAATGAGCTGTAACTGCACACCCAGCCCAAAAACTGCTTTTATGATCTTTCTTTCTCATTAGTTTGAGCAGTCAAAACACACATTCGAAACCATTATCGTGTGGAAAGAATAATGGGCCCATTTTTTATTCTTTGTTCTCCTGGGTGATGTTTTCCTGTAAAGCCTTGTAGAAGTGCTTCTCTGTTAATTTCTACACGGCACAGTAATCTCTACACTGATACTCTAAACCACCCTCTCTCCACCCAGTTCATCTCTGTGTCTCTGTAATTGGATTTGTGTAAAACTTACTTAATCCTCTCTGATGTGCCAAAAGCCTTCACAGGCCTCTCAAATCAGGGAAAGTGGCAAAATCAGAGTGAGAGGATTGCCCGGATGCTGTTTGAGAGCTAAACCAGTAGCATGAAGTTTTTAACGGATGTAAATAGAGTGTAACAGTGACCGCCCACTTTTAGACCGCCTCTGGTTCCAGTGTTAAATTTCCCATTGATTTTCTCCAGTGACGATTCAGAAAACAGCGTTAAGCAGGGGAACCAGGTGGATCTGCTATGAGATGAATCATGGCCACAAAACATTTGATTCAGTTCAAAATATTGGAAAACAAAGGCACGCAAGTGTAAACACAATTATTTTCAGAGTGAAGGAACTACACTTCTCATACACCATTGGGAATGATCCCTTTCTAATGACTTTCAGCGCAGTTCTTCTTCTTATCTGCCCATTAGGACTTTTCTCTCGTCAAAACACAGCATGTTTGAAAGCAAGGTAATGGTCATTATGTGGTATATATAATATAACACAATCAGATCACAGCAGACATGATTTTCACAGTTGTGGTCATAATTTCCATGGTAACAGGAAGCTCCATAAATCAGAGAAGTCGCTTTACACTTGAGGATTGTGGGTAGTGTAATACTTCTCCTTGACATAGCGAAAAAAACAGTACAGAAACATATGACATCATTTCACAATCTTGAAGCTTGTGCTATCTTGGATGGTTACAATATTATGGCTGATAATCAAAATAATGAAAGGATGAATGAAATGAATGTCATTTCTTGAACCACACTGTAAAGCTTTGTTCTTGCTGCTGTTATTAAGCTGAACTTGTGTGGTACCATGTTGACTGATCTGCACCATTAAGCACAATAAAGTACTTGAGGGGACCAATTAGCTCATGTTTTCAGGTAAAGTTTGGGGAAAGACCAAAGATATTACAGAGGAAGAATATAACAACAATAGAGGGTTTTTTCATGGTTATTAAAAACTCCAAGATTGTAACAAGCAACAAATTCACAACAGTTCATGTAACTGGATCCACATACCTAAACATGCCTCTTTGATTTCTGTCTTGTCCGTCCTCTGAATTATCTTCACCACAAATATCACCGCCAGTGGGGTAAGGAAGGAAATTGCCTGTGAGGAATACAAGACAAACATTTGTGTGCAGTTATCACTGTGACTTTAAAAAATGCACTGCAGAATTCCACAGGGACTGCTTTGCAGGTTCATCTTAAAATTAATTTTTGCTTTGAGGAATGAGATGATCCATTATTCTTAGTTAAGGCAAACTGAGGAGCCAAACAAGCTTCTTTATTGTTCAGTGGGGTTTCCCTGCCTGCACGCAGAAGAGTGTGCTCCTCACTGGATAGGAGATTTGGGACTCCTCTGCACCTAGGTAATTATTCAGGCCCCCCAAATTAATTAATTATTTTCTGGCCAAATTCAGTATATTTTTTTTCATTAAAGCGACAGAGGTAGCAAAGCCAAAGGCTGGGTTTCAATTCCATTATTATGACACATAGTGAATTAGTGCTGAGCCTTGTGTATATCTGTGCATCTCTGCCAAAGAAACTCATTTAGCACCTGCCCTTGGAGTTGTTCAGAACAAACTTGTAATCACACTTGGATTCACTCTCAAAGGTGCTGTAACATTTGTTATTTCAATTTTAAATTAAATAGTCTAAAATGTCCTTAAGACATGGCCACAGACATGGGTTTGGACAAAATGTCAGTTAATATAGACTCTACTGTTTGAAGTGTAGCCATGAACAATGATGCCAACCAGTCAAGTTTAGGTTTACATTTCCATACATCTTAACTGCAACACAAACTATATTTTTATGCAAACTTGCATGCTGGACTATGTTCAGAGGCAACATGTTGTTTTAAATGAATGAAACACATTAAATCTATTAGTTATAGGAGGTGGTTGGGGTGGATTTGCACAAGGCACAATCACACAAGCACATTGGTTGGGTTAGGGATATATCTTGGTTTGATTAAACATTTTTTTTTAAACTTTTTAATAACTTTTCCTGACCTTGAGTGCTTAAACATAACCACTAAAAAGTTTGACTAGAACTGCATGAATTCAATAGATCCAGATTTCTGCACTAAATGTCTTTCATCAAGATCCATGAATTATTCTATGAGAAATCAATAAAAATGTTGAAAAACACCCTATCTCACAATATTGGATCCACACCAAAATTTAATGGGTTCTTCCCTGACCCATGCAGCTTCCACCAAGGTTTGTAGAAATCCTTCCAGTAGGTTTAACGTAATCTTACTCACTATCAAACAAACAAACTCGGATGTTGCATTATCAGATGTTTGAGTGTTTGCAAGAAAAAAAGTTATAGGTGAACATTGTACTGTGTTGCAGTCCGGTTGTACAGAAATTCCATTTTGAGGAGACAGTGTCACAAGAATGTATCAAAATGTTTCCAGACCAAATGGAATGAAGCAACAAGTTGCATTTTGGGAGCTGGTAGCATCCATCGCATTTGCCAGTGTATCTGTGACCTTTCAGTAACAACAGTTTCCATGACTTTATCACTGAGGTCGTGAAGGAACCCAGTGAGAAAAAAACACTTCTTTTTCTGTCAGGTTGAGACTTTCACATCTTCTAAGAATTTATTCAGGGTGAAACAACAGTCCTGAATGGCACCAGAACCAAAAGAAGAAAGCGGGGGATTTGATTTGAGTTGCCATAGAAACACATTGAGGTGATTAAAAGCATCTCAAAAGGTTTGACAATATAATGGATCTCTTCTCATAATATTGAATGGTTATGATTGCACATTTATAAAACTATTCATAGCTTTCTTTAATTCAATTAAGGAGGTGATGTATTTTGGCAGATGACCTTAAGGTTCATTATCATCTTTTTGAACTCACACATATAGAGGCTACATACAGTATGTGAATCAGTGTAACAGTGATAGTTACAATGTTTTATATGTCCCACAGTGTATCTCTCTTATGTAGATGAAAAAATAGCAGACATCTTTATGTGAGTAAATCCCATTAAATAAACGATCTGTACCTTTCACCGAGTGCCCGCTTAGAGGCCGGACTACAATATAATTTTTACAGCTCTTGGGGAGCACCCTGCTGTGTATAATGTGCAGTCAATTACATTTCATTCTTAATAAATGTTCTTACTTTGCATAATATGGGAACAGAAAGGATTGCATGGAGATGAGATCTGATTTTCAGGCACTTAATTTGCAGACTAATAATTCTAATAGCCTGTTGACATTATACAAATGCAACCTTTAGTCATGATTTATGGTGTGACTCCAATTTTTTTCTGCCCTTGTGTTTTTGCTTTTTCCCTTTCCTTGTGTCTCCTGTCTTCTCCCTGTCATCTTGCTACTTCGTCCCCTCATGTATTTCCCTGTTCAAACATTTGTTTCCTTGGGCCTCATGTCCATCTCCTGCACACCTGTCTGCCTGCGCAACTCTATGCCTGCCAAGATCACCAGTCCAGAACCTGCTGCTCCTTTCTCCCAGCCTCCAGCTCCCCTAAAGCCTCTGCCACGCTTGCCAGCTCCTCACCCCTCATTCCCTACTCAGCTCTGGCTCCCCATTTTTTCCTACTCTGTCCTCAACCTTTGCCTGCTGGCCTCTCTCCCTAAAGGCGAAATCATAGTTTACGCTTCCGCCATCCGCTGGGGTCCGCAGCCCAACATTTTTGACCATGCTGACTGTAGCAATGACTGTGCATGCTTGGAACAAGGGATGAACGTGCATCCTCATTTCAGTATTAATAGAACTGCGGGCATTTACATGTGACCGGAACAAGAACGAAAATCTCAGCAGACACAGAACGTTATGGTCAACCCTTTATTCACCATTCATTTCTCAAGCCTTGTGCAATTGACCATCGTTGCATCGGATCATGCTCTGCATTCGGGTTCACCTTTCCAGCATGTCACCTTTACATATACTGAATGGAAGAAGTGAACATTCCTGTCACTCCAATAGTGAAACAATGAACCCTCTCTTACAGTTTCAAGAGTCACTCTCAGTGCCTCTCCTGACTGCGAGCACGCTAACACAGGCTAACACGGTATAATATCTTAATGAAGGTCAGAGTGAATCATAACGGAGCATCATGTAAATCCCCTCCATGGACTATTTTTAATGGCCAGATAAATTCGGCACACCTTCAGGGCTACTGTCAGAGTGATGACATTAAAGAAGCCTGACTTCTGCCTGTCAGCTCGGGGAGTATATTCTGAAAGAGGCATGTGGGTGGAAGGCTTTGTCTCACACCCAGTATTTAGAGACCTGTCAAGTTACAGACTCCTCATAATAACTTTGTATTAAACCTGTGAAAGATACTTTGCTCAATGTTTTATGTACTGGAAAAAAAGAGTCTATTAAACGTCTGGAGTATAGGGTATGTAATGCAGTCCTTATCAGAGCTCAATTTCTACCCTTGAGCTCCAAGAGAGAAAATGCATTTAAAAGATATTACAGCAGCAGCTTTGCTTCATGTGGAGCACATTTGGCTGAGAGTGTCTGGATAATAAGGTTTAAATGGTCACTATTTCTGTTTTTGAGTTAGTATGTGGGTGCTGCGCAGTCCAAGTATCAACAACAACACTTCGAAAGTCTCAGAACCTGGAAGCTGCTTGATAAGTAATGGTTAGAGGTGCTAAATGACATTTTCAGTGGCATTAATTACCAGACGTGTTAGGGTATTGATATATTTGTATATAGGGTTATTGTTTTGGGCCATCAGTGTTCATACCGTCTATTTTTTGTTGTTGTTTTGGTTGAAAAATCATTATAGAAATAATTATAATATTAAATAAATATTAAGCGCAAATATTATGTACGAAAGCTTCAACAGATGTTTTTAAAAAATGTGTCAAATTTCCACATGTCTGTCTTTATCCTTGGCTTTAATCCTTAAGAATAAGGAGTAGACTCATACAGTAGAGACGTGCTGCCCTCTCTCCTCTCATCTCTTCCCATTTTTCTTCCAGTTAACGCCACCAGCTCATTGCATGATGGGATATATTGCTCAGTTATTGACCATCAGATGAACACTACATTTCATGATGTACTGTGGAAAAGTCCACTAAAGGGTATATCATTTTACACAAAACATTCAGACAGCACTACAAAATGGCAAAATCACTATATAGTGATTAGTGAGTAATTTTGGACATTTGGACATCTATTTCTCCTTTGGTCTTTTTTGGGTTGTCTGTTCAATGAGTTTTTGTATTCCTTCTGCTACTGTAAGCCTGTTTTATTAAATTCTCCTTCACCACATTTTTTGGGATTTTGCATTCAGATCCTGCTGGATTGTGATAGGTCAGAGCCAGGCAAACTATTACCCCTGCTTGTGTATTATATACCGAGATAATGCCTGCCTCTAAAATCATACTTATTGCAGAGACATCAGAGTTGGAGGAACATTTTCATAAAACAAATAGCAAGAAAGTAAATAAGCCCATCTCCCAAATGTCTTTACAACCTACTGAATCTCCTAAATGATCATATTAAAATTGTTTCACAGAAATCTTGTGTCATTACAAGGTGCACACTTTTGTGACAGATGGGAAAAGTTAAAATGTATGTGAGTATTTCTGGTTTTACAGCTACTATCTTTGCTTTGGCATTCATTGTGCCGTCATATTTTACCATAATCACCGTTAGACCATAAAGACCATCAAATCTGCAGCATCTGAGTCAGACAACAACGAGCTCCGTAATCACCAGCGTGCTGCATTTTAAATGCATTGAAGCCAGTGATTGTTGCTGAGAACAAAATCAGCACAGAGGCTCCTATATGTTATATAGTGTTTACCGAGAGATTTTTCTGGTTAATTGCTCAATGGTTAAAGTTTGAGCCAGAAGAAAACTATTTTTCAGTCTCTGTTGTATCCATTTGAAAACCGTCATGATGTTTTCACTAGTTCGTTTCATCTAAATTGTATGAATTGTAGTTTTCTTTACCCCAGAAAAGGCCCTTTATATTCAAATACTTTATATTTACATCGAGGGGACCCTCCCTATGGAGGCCGCCATGTTTTTTTCATTACTCTAGACTGGACAAACTAAACACCTTTTGAGTTTTTATGACAATTAAAGGCTGCCACAGTTTCTTTTTCATGTTTAGAAGGAGAGGGTGAGGTTAGGGTTGTTCAGCTGCAACATGCAATTTCAACACTAGATATCACAAAATTCAACACACTGTACCTTTAACCCTGTACCACACTGGAGGCACTAATCACCATAACTCTCTGTCAGATTCAAGCCTCACCTTGACGGTGGAAAGCAGAGTGACAATTTTCCTCAATGAAAGATTGTGCACCTCACTGATGAGTAAGAACTAAGCATGGTTCATGTGGGCTGAAAAATGACAAACCATTTCGTACCTATCAAGTTTGTACTAAGAGGAATGCATAATTATAGCAAGTACTTACGAACATGACCCTCTTGGGAATGTGGTCTGACTCAACCAGAGGATTCTTGTAGAGCCAGAGCTCCTCCGGTTGAATCACTCTCTCAAACGGCTCCAGAAACTCTGTAAATCTGTGGCAAAGAAAAATAAATGTGCACTGATCAGTCACATGTTTTAGAAGATTGAGAAGAGGCTTATACAAAGAGTAACATACCATGTAATGTGTATTCGTTTGAGATATGAGGGATATTTTAATCTAATTTTGCTTAAAGTGATGCTGCACAGTTAAAAATGTTTTGAACAATTAACTAAATTATGTAACCGCCCTTTAATTAATGCTGATGTTAATATCCCATTATTACCACTCTCAGTAAAAGAGGACCTGATGCTTCTTCCATTAGTGTAAAAAGACACATTTGTGGAAAAGGTGGACTTCATATAACAGTGCTGCTGTCTCACACTCTTGAGAACAAGCATTAGCATTCTCCTGCTTCCTCCTGCCCGGCCTGGCCACCCAGAGGTCTGTCTGATACAACCTTGTTCTCTGTTGTCTCAACAAAATCTTTTTGTCACTGCACGCTGATACATTCAATACATTGCTCCACTGCACATCAGTTGTGCTGCAAGACACCTCCTACAGCCACAGAGAGTGCCAAATACTTAAACAACATCAAACTCAACAGAATTTGTGGGACGCTAGCAGCAAAATGCAAAACAGTAATATAGATGTTCTGATCTCGCAGAGTGTGTGTCCCATACAGTGACTAACTGAAGATTTAGCCCATGTAGGTTTAAAAAGAAAAGAAAAGTGCTGCATGCTCGGGCGCGCAGGACCCCAGAGAATAACTTACTTAAGGCCTTAAAATAGAAAAATATCTTAAATTGTTTGCATTTTGCAGGACCTGAAGTTATCTCTGGGTCTTTCCTCAGCTTCTCTGTCGATTGCACATTCACTATGTTACGTTCATACAATACACTGAAGGCTCAATCATTTTATTTTATTCTAGATCAGTGATTTCCAACTAGTAGGTGCATGGATGAGACAAACAAACAAAGAACCCATTAAATAATAAGCGGGGCAGTTGCCTGAGGTTTGTGGAGGGATTCGGCAGTTCTTTCCCCAGATGAACAGTTTCAATCTCGGTGGAAATAGCGCTTGAGTAATGCTCTCCCATACAACTACATGCCCTTTAGCGAGACATTTATCACATGTCTGCTTCACTGAAGCCGCTTACTGGCTCCTGGATCCTATGCTGCTCTTTAGTGTGAATCAAACTGTAGGGATGAGGAGCAGACTGATGGCTAAAAAGACAAATCTTCTACAAACCTTTCCCACATTAAAAAATAATATGGATTCATGTTCTACAGATGTTCTTATTTCCTCCTCGCTTCATAGATACAGAAAGAAATATTAGTTAATCTCTGTGAAAGACACGCAGCATATTACCCAGTGTGGAAAGTCTGTTTGTTGGTCCGTTGATTACTATGTGCCACGATGTTTTCACAAGAGAGCGGCCTAATGGGTATGAGCTCATTTTACACCTTGCTGCACCCGTGTGAATGATTCACTTCAGCTGCATTACATTTACGGTATGTGTCGCACAATATATTACACTGTGCTAATTATACACAATACCCTTCATGAATTACCCCCATTTTCCCTGGTTTGTTCTCTCTTCCGCTCTTGTTCAGACGTCAGTGACAGAGGATGTTATTTTCGTCCACACGGATTAAAAGCAGACGGATAGAGCAAGACCATGCAAGCGCACGCACGCACGCACACACACACACA